ACTTTGCGGAACCTAGCCTAGATCTCGTTCATAGTATTCTTCTGACATGTCCTACTCATAATAGATCGACAGATATACAAAAAAAAAAAAAAAAAAAAAGGAAGTAGTCCTCTTTTTTTTTTATTTTTTTTTATCTGTTGATTAGGGCCGGAGGGAAGTATAGTTGGGTTGTTTGCCTACCTACGTTTTACCTCCCACCCACCCCTTTGCATGCATTTCCAGGTTGGTACAGTGACACGTCAGACAGTGACACGTCAGCAGTGCCACGTCAGACAGTGCCACGTCAGCTACAGTGCCACGTAAGCAGTGCCACGTAAGCAGTGCCACGTAAGCAGTGCCACGTCAGCAGTGCCACGTCAGACAGTGACACGTCAGCAGTGCCATGTCAGACACAGTGCCACGTAAGCAGTGCCACATCGGACACAATGCCACGTAAGCAGTGCCACGTAAGACACTGTGCCACGTAAGCAGTGCCACGTCAGCAACATGACGGGCCTGCCAGGCCAACTGGCCAATGAGCCCATTGCCGACTACAAAAAGCGCTTCTAGGCTCAGCTCGCCGCAATCGAGGCTGAGGAACAACGCCAGCTGGCAGTCAAGGCTGCCCAGCCACAGGCTGACGAAGCGGCAGCAGCAGAGAAGCTCCAGCTACAGGCCGAAGCAGATGCAGATGCCCAGGCTCGCCGCAAGGAAGCCCAGGATCTGCTGCAGCGGCATGAAGCCAGCAACATCGACAGACTAAAGTTCTGGCACTTTGAACCGAATGGCGACGAGGCAACACCGGAAGAGCAGCATAAGGAGTTTTTGGCCAAGCTAGTGACCAAGTTGGTTTACACGTGTAACCACCTACAGTCCGAGCTGGCGAACCTCCAGCGGGCTGTGCGAAACCATAAGACTCAACATGAGGATGCCACACGGGCACTGGACGCCCGTGTACACGACTTGGAACAAGTTCCGCCAAGACCAGATGCTTGGGCTTCCAGCAGTGCATCCTCTAGCCACCAACTGGAGGAACTCGTTGACCACGTAGTGGCAATGCTCGGCGACATCAGCACCCTCGCTGCGCCGACCACCATCAGCAGTCAGCTGCATACCTTGAAGACCGAGTTCCAGCAGCTGCAGTCGAAGAACGCGGATGGCAATCCGAAGTTGTACAAGATGCCAACTTTCCAACTGGACAGGTTCGACGACTACACGCAGCAGGATCCGGTCCTCTGGTGGGAAGCATTCACAACGCAACTCAGGATTCTGCCCGTCGCCAAGCACGCGTACATCGGCGCCCTGTTCATGAACTCAAAGGGCGGATGCCAGACCTGGTTGACCCACCTGGCAACCTCCCACGACGTCGACGTACCGGACTTGAAGGACAAAATCACATGGGAGGAACTGACACGGTTGTGGAAGAAGCGGTTCATCGTCGACGACGCGCCAGCACTCGCCATCAACCTTTTGTCCACCATGTCACAGGGCAACACCGCAACACGGGATTGGCTCACGGAGTGGCAGAAGATTGCGGCAGTGCCCAACCTGGACTTGCCATTCATGCATTTACGTCGTGAGTTCTACAACAGGTCCTGTGCTGATTTGAGCCAGGCTCTTGGTGACCGCGAGCAGTACTCAACCTTCGCTGAGATCATTGACAAGGCGAGGGTAATCATCAAGACCAACACGTCAGCTGCACACGAGAAGTCAACATGGCAGCCGACCTATGTGGAGAAGGTACGAACTGGTCCGCAACAGCAGCACTTTGCTGCAGTCCAATCAGATAGTGGAGATAACCCAGCAGCCACTCCAGCATCAAGTGACGGAGATCAGGTGGCTGCTGTCCAGCCGCGAAGCAACAACAAGTCCCGCAACAATGGGAAGGCGAAATCCGCATCGCAGGCCGGAAATGGACAGCCATTACAAGTTCCATGGGTCAAGTTCGGCTTGACCGAGGCGGAGTACAAGGTCCGCGGCCGCTACAGCAGCTGCTATTGGTGCAACAGCACCAAGCATAAGACCTCCCTCTGCCAGGATCAGGGCAAGGAGGATGTGCGACCCCGCCTCAACTCGGGAAACTGAGTTTCGCGGAAGGTGAGGCGACTCCACCTTCTACTCCGCCAGATTCGGCCGCCTTGCTAGCGGCCTCCTACACATCTGGGGAGGATGCGAATGTCGCAGGTTCTCGTTACACTTACGAGGACTATGCTGTCCACTTGGTTCCACCACTAGACCAACCGCTCCACGTGCAACAATCTACCGCATGCACGGTTTCATCACCATCGGCAACCGATTCGGCAGCTTCACCGCCATCTATCGCCGGGGATTCATCGTCGTGGTCAAGACTTGAGGTGATCGACCCACTGACGTTCACGGACTTCCAGTGGATGCCCGTTCCCCCGACCGGACGATTGCCGAAACCGCATTGCAACGTGCTCACGGCACAATTGCAGGATTCCTTGCACACTTCAGTACCGACTTCGTTGATGGACGCCGGAGTAGAGGTTGTCGACCTTCACGTCTACATTGCGAAGATCGACCACGAGTTCAAGACGCAACGGTACGACGACATTGACGCACCATTGCTATATGTACGCATTCGAGCCTTCGAAATAATTTTTTTTTGTTTTTGAGTAGCGGAGCATCTCGGAACTACATCAGCCAAGACTTCATGGTGCGCGCCGGCCTTGGCCCACGCGTCCGGAGGAAGCCCCAGCCTACGCAAGTCACATTGGCAGACGGTCACATGCACAAGTCAATCGACCGGTGCATTGACAGCGTCCCAGTGTACTTTGCCCCTCACGCAAGTGAGGCGGTGTCCTTTGACATTCTGGACACCAAATTCGACATGATCTTGGGCATGTCATGGCTGCGAAGCAAGTATCACCCGGTGAACTTCTTCAACCGCACCGTTCACGTTCGTGACCGGAACGGAGTATTAGTTCCATGCACGGTGCCTCTTCCTCATCCTTCGATCAGCTGCCACGTGGTATCCGCCGCAAGCATGCGAGCTTCCATCATCAGAGACGACATCGAGGAGATGGGGATATGTTTTCTCCACGCCTTCCTGCCCCATGACGCTTCATCGACGGACTCACCTTCGGATCCACGCATCACCGAGCTTCTCGACGCCTACAGCGACGTGTTCGAAGGCCCGCACGGAGTAGTACCAGATCGGCCCATCCGCCACGAGATCATCCTCGAGGACGRGGCCGTACCTCCACGCGGTTGCATCTACCAAATGAGCGAGGAAGAGTTAAGTGTGCTTCGAGCACAACTCGACGACCTTCTGGAGAAAGGCTGGATTCGGCCTAGCTCATCGCCATACGGTGCTC